ACAAATAAAGGCTATTGCTTTAGAGTAAGAGAGGCTCCAAGTCTACTTTTAACCGTTGCCATGGCAATTAGACTGAGCACAGATTGATATAAGCAATCGGCGCGCATTCAGGCCGCGTGTTATACGTACCCCTTGACAATCCCGCGACAAAAACGGAGACAAACGTACGTGGAAGTGGTAAAAAGCCGCGGCTGAGGCAACTTACGATTTCCCCACGTGAGATCCAATCGTGCGCGATTGCTTTATGTTTCTCAATGCAACGCACGCCCTTAGGATAATGGTGACCATCTTTAAGTATACAGTATAATGTGTAAGAAACTGAAGAGAGAGAAAATACTGGAGTCCTGAGTAAGTACTCTATAGGAGTTATATTTTGAACAATTAATTAATGGTTGAGAATCGAGTTTGGTGATCGTATAGAAATTTAAAAATGAGTATCCTGTATGTTTTTATTCTTATTTTTATTCTCTCTTGGAGGGGTTAAACAAGAAATACAGGTTTATTTTTAAAGTCCGATCCCAAATCGACTCGAAAGTATTTGCGGGGAAAAATCCTGACATTGACAGACTGTCAATAAAGCATAGCAGGATCTTTTCAAGTACACTAATGTAGGTGAGCGTTAAGTAGGTTTTGGAAAATCAACAGGAATTGAAAAAAACATAATGTTGTATTTGGATAAGTTAAAAGTTGTTTATAATTAGCTGAAATTTTATTTAAGTACATATTCAGTTATTTTAGTATTGAAACCCGTATCATCTAACTATTAATAAATAATTAAATGAGTTGACGAAAACATTGAACTCATGTTGAAGTCACTAGATGAAACTTTACGTAAACATAGTTTCATTTATAATGTGTGATCGCGTGAATACAAGAAATTATCTAGTTGACGTCTCACTTCTGCAAAGAAATCTTAATTTTATTTTGAATGTTATTTTAATAGTAGCAGTATAGATGATATATGTTTTTGCATAATGGAGAATTTGCAGTGACCATGATCTGATGTGAGAGTAAGGCTTATGACGTATCTGGAACACCGATTATTGTCTAAAATACTTAATGATGAGTCTCGGTAGCTTCGGATATTGTATTGTAAAAGTAGAAGTGAATTACGAAATAATAAATGAACTAAGATTTCTATAGAGCTTCTTTAAGCTAAGGTATGCATATTCGTGACAAGATTGATTGACGCATTACATTGATTCAGCTTAGATTGTCCAAGTTTATAACTTAACACTAAATATCTAACAACCGATTTCAATATGTATCAGTATATCTTATCTATCACTATATTTGTTTACTGGAGATAGAATTTTGACCTAGGTATTGAGGATCTAATGTCAAATACCTACCGCTAGTACCTAACCAAATCTGTTCATCGCTGTCATTCATCTATGATACACAGATCTCGTAAAGTGGGTAAATAGACGTGAGAAGAAGACGCAAGATTAATCTTTGCATTAATTTTGCGGTCACTTGAAAGGAGAATTCCCAAACTGTATGAAGATGTCACGGTCACGTTACGAAAGAGATGGGCAGCTTCTACTTCTTAATTTTAATTTGGATGAACAAATGATTGCTCTTTAAAGAAAAATCTCTCTTTCTCAACCGCTCATTTGTTAAATAACATTTAATATAAAATAAAATCTAAGGATTGCGAATGTTTGAATAGATGTTTTAAACACTGTTTTAGTAAAAATATTGATTATAATCTAAAATTTGTAAATAATATTTTAATAAAATGTAATAGGAAACTATTAAGAGTTAGATGTAGACGATTAAAGCAGTCTACGATTCACCGACCTTAGTCATTGCCAGAAAAAGGTTTTTTTGAAATTTAAAGCCTCTTGAAGTCCACAGCCGCTACTAAACATAAATATAAATATAGTATCTAGTGTCCGGGTTTAATTCAATATACTCGAGCAACCTAAGTTCAAATCGCGGTGCCGGTAACAATGATATACAATCAGGGAAATGTCACGAGAAAACTTGTTCAAGTAAATATCTAAAAATATTTCGAACGTACGTGAAGCCCGCTAATCCGCAGTGGGGTCGCGTGGTGGACAATGCTTTGATACCTTCTGTACAGACGAGGTCTTTGCCCAGCAATGGAAAAAATAGAGGCTGTTCACTTTACTTTAATTGTACGTACGTAGTTTGTTAAAGCAGTTTAACATGTATATCGTGCGTACATTGTTGGAAACTTTTAGAGGTACTAAGAAGCGCATCTCGAGATAACCTGTCTCGTTGTAAGGAAATCCTTCGAGCGTTCGAGCGGATGCATTACATTGATACGGATTACTGTTGCAACTTGTCGGATTTTCCCATCGTTTGTCAAATCTAATCGGAGCTTCCCACAACAATTATTGCCCCGTTTCGTTGGTGTAGAAACTTCAGAGCCATTAAGCTGTGGCACATCGCGCCGAAGATAGCCGAAGCGGGCCGGCAGAGTAATAATAACCTTGCAAAACACGCATAATCCCATTGTTTACGCTAAAACAGTTCGCACGATCTGTAACACTGGTTACCACATTGTTTATCGCCCTCGGCCCCCCGTTAGGCGTGAAGATGCAAATCTAAGTTTAATAGCATGTGATTAGGAACAATATACTGGGCTAATTTTTGAATTATGTATTTGTGCGCATCGGGCACTTTACGCCGGTCTTCTGTGCGGTCATGGTACTTACCCGGACGAGCCTTCCGATTCGTGAAACAGCGACCTATTGCGTGGCCCTACCACACAAAACCGTTTTTTGAACATTTTAAATTTGGCCCAGCGAGGATGAACCAATCTCTATCTATCAAAGTGCCACATAAATTGGGTCAACTACTGTCGTTTAACACAACGGGGTCCTTCCCCGGGTGTTTCGAGCACTTTGGATACATTCGTTACTTTACCACAATAAATTAGAATAAAATTTTTGTCTAGACAACAAAAGATTAGTGTAATAACGTTTAATTACACTGAAGATTAACGCTAGTTCTCTAACTTATCAATTTCATGAAGTATTTGTGAATTTTCTACCTTCTTTGAAAAGACAAATGATAAAAGCTGTAAATGAAAAAAAAAAAATTAGATAGCACATCAATAAAAAAAAACACTTTAACCTCACACATCAGCTTTTAATGTTTGATTAAAACTTACACAACGTTTTTAATCAAAATAATGTAGTAAGTGAAAATTTATTCGCACTTCAGCTAGTGTGGATTTCGTGATATAATGTAGATTAATAATACGATTGACTTAAATGCTGGAATTCAAATTATATCATGACGCTTGCCTTTCAATCTTGTTTGTTGAATTTGTCGTAGATGGATAGAAAGACTCCCCTTAAGTCGATACATACATCCCAATCTAACAATAACTATTTACCGTACAAGTTATACCATTTCATGCTTAGCATCAATTTCTTTCTATGGTACTAACAAGAAAATTCAATGCGGCCCATGGAATTTGTGCGGTTGGTCTGCCCTGCGATATTGTTGTTCATAGACGTTGCAAGAGTCGAGTTGCCGCTGCAGCAACGCTTGAATTACGATTGTTATTAGAAAATTTTTTCACCAAACGAATCATTACCGAGCCGCGTTCCTTTGTTTCCATTCAACATTCTAATTGGTCAAGTTATTAACATGTGACAACTTATGTGGCTTTTTTTCGAGACGCTTCCCAGGTTTGTTGGAAGTATTGTGTTCGAGTGTTAGTATTATTGTCTTTCATTTAATAAAGCCATAACTTTAACGACCCATGTAATGGCAATCAATGTTCATGACAATAGACTAGGAGGGTAAAGCTTTTCTAAGTAACTTCAAAGTATTACCATCTAGAGTTAAACAAGATTTGCCTTTGAACTTCCAATTTTTAATATCAATGGGAATTTATTAAAAACTTATTAATTTAAACGCAAGCAAAGACTAATGACGAGACCATTATAGTTTATTTTAGTTCTTTTTTTCATATATGGAGCTAGTCGTTACGAATTGCGAATTCATTGTGAAGGTCTAGGCTTTTTATAGAAGCGAACTATTCTTTCTATTACAAAAGCTATACGTATCTATTACTGACATGACATGAGATAGAGTTTAAATGCTAACCTTATCATTTCATACAAATAGAGAACAGAAGCTATTGTATTCACTTTGTCCGACTGAGGGCAAATTAGGGTCTGATTTGCTGAAATCCGTTTGTTTGTGTTTATCTATGCTTATTATTTAGCGTATTTAAAGCTGTATAAACTGTATTCTGGTGGTAAACGCATGCCCCTTGACTCGAAGCGCTGAAACATTCCAAATTAAAATTAATATTATAAAATATTTTATTTAACAATGCGTTGTGTGCACTTAAATGTGAGAAATCTACTTTCAACTGTGGTAGGACCACAGTGTTCGCTGTTACATGAATGCGGAGGTCCGTCCGGGTTAGTCCGTCCTCACAGAAGCCCAGCGTGAAGATTACACTTCTGGTTTCATCGGTGGGTGAGGTAGCCTGGGCCCACTGTTTTAAAAAGTGGCAACGTGTTTGCAACGCTACGGGTGTTGCAAATGTCCATGGGCGACGGTTTTCACTTAACGTCAGGTAAACCGTCAGCTGGTTTGCCACTTTTTTTTATGTGAAAAGTTGTGAAGCGAGCAGACAGTTCACTTGATGTTAAGTGAATTGGAGGTATTCACTTAACATCAAGTGAACTGTCTCTCCCATGGACATCTGCTACACCCGAGGGTTGACAACCTTTTGAAAATCCTCACTCACCAGACGAAACGCGAAAGGCTATTATACTTCCACTTGATGTTCGGTCTTCTGTGAGGTCGTGGCACTTACCCGGATGAGCCTGCCCATTCGTGCAACAGCCGAGGCTGCTGCGTGCCCCTACCACCGTTATCACATAAAAAAATCATTAATCTTTTCTAATAGATTTATTCAGAATTTAATTTGTTTAAATCTATTATATCGATGTTAGTTTCAGCACAAGTCCAGAGTTAACGAGATTCACTCCGGCCACATCATGTCGCAGCAGAGAAGATTGTGCGGAATGCACCTGACCACCCTGGGACTGATTGCAGCCCTTCTTTACCTGATCGATATGTCGCTGGCTGTGAGTATATCGTATTTTTTGTACAGAAGTACCGTTGGGTTCCTAAGATGAGGTGGGCTTCCAGGTACTTCGACGAAAGTAATAGAAAAGTACAAATACACTCACTCCACACGCACTCCTCTGGTCGAACTGGTCCGTTCATAGAACATAGTATGTGATAGAATTTAAATCGTTGCCAGATGACGTCATCCAATATCTGGACACTTCTTTTATCTTACGTTGAGAAGGTATCAAGCAACCATATAAGAGATCCTTTAAATATTTAAGTTAACTTGCTTAATCAAGGTCACCGTTCATCTTTCAGGACCTTCGCATGTTACTTTGCTCTCCCTTGGTTTAATAACTAAAGTATTGTCACAGAATTTTTACAGCCTTGTTATTTTATACCAGTTGTTACTCGATGAACCTTTTTGGCTGTGTGCCCGTGTGGTTCTGTTTAAATCAGTTTTCAGTGCGTCACGATTAGCCGTGAAGATATCCTGAGGAAACCTGAATATCCTAGTCACCCTAGTAATATTCGTATCCTCTGAATAGAGTATAGAATTATGATTCTATTTCTATTCTATTTGCCTATAATAATATAGATGTCTCCGATTTTTCTTAAGGTATCCGAAATGTAGGACAATAATAAATATTTTAGGACACATTTTTAACACAACGTACTCTAGTCCCAAACTAAGCAACGCCTGTACTATAGGTACTAGATAACTGATAAACATACTTAAACATACTTTTGTTTTGTAAGTAATAATAGTACATATTATACATATACTAGCGACCAGCCCCGGCTTCGCACGAGTGCATACCTTCCTTTTGAATCACTCTATCTAGTAATAAAAACTAAGCATACATAGGGTCAGACAGACAGCGGGTTGTTGACGTTGTTTTATACTATGTAGTGAAGTGATAAAAATCCAGATAATAGAAAAACACTATGTTCATCACACAATAATTTTCCAGTAGTGGGGATTCAACCCTCTGGCGCAGAAGGCAGGTACACTACCCACTACGCCCTTCGGGTAGAAACATGAAATGCCAGTTGTGATAAGTTTTTGATTACATGAATTGCTTATTATAGTTGATAAATTAGGAGAGGAATTTTCAAAAATGTTTCCCTAATTAATTGCTCCGTGATCATGCAGGGAGATTTTTTGAGAAGTGCCCAAATTTACACAGGAGGTTCAGACTCGGTAGTATAATCGTTTATTGAAATAAAAACCAAGTTTTTTTTTTCCAATAGACTATTATACAAAAAAATGCCCTTCTTTTCCCTTAAAAACAGAACGTACCTAAATTTTACTGTGCACGAACTTGTATGCGTGTTAGTTATAAATGATCGCGAGTAAAATAAATGAGTTGCGTATAAATCACGCACTTTTTGAGATAAGTTCAAATGAATGTAATTAATTACTTACGCGTGATTTTAAATATTTATCATTTTTATATAACACTAGCTGACTCGACAAACGTTGTTTTGCCATATAATTTTTTTCTAGAGGAAACGGAACGCACGCATAAAGTGTGTGACAGGTTATACAGACATAGTCGATAGGTTGACAGGTACAGTTTGTATGGGAAAATAAAATTGTTGCTATTTCGATTTTCCATGCAATTTTTCCATTGTTTTTCATCGTTTAAACCTTCCCTGGACTGCCAAAAATATTTCAAAACCAAAATTAGCCAAATCGGTCCAGCCGTTCTCGAGTTTTAGCGAGACTAACGAACAGCAATCCATTTTTATATATAAGAAGAAGATTATTTATGCCTAGAGTTTAATAAAAAAATAGATACACTTAGAAAAGCCACCCTTTATATGCTGAAGAAATTGCAAAGTTTAAACTATACCCGGGATAATAAGTTGACATTACTCTAATCGCTAACGGCATTGTGTTAAGATTACCCTCTCCGTCGTAAATTACACAGGCCACCTATTTATCTTTTAATTGTTTCCAATTAAGCACGCGACAACCGTTCTCGATGATGAAGCACTTGATCAATTTAAAAGTTCGCATAAAACATCATTAACTACTTAAATACGTCTACGATGGCATTATGGTAGTCGTTTGATTGGCTTAATCATCGAGCAATAATTTAAAGGACATTTCATCGCGTATTGTGAGAATTTTCCTCGTTATTGTTTTACTCAGGCTGGTACTCAGTTAATTCTTCACAATGTAGTCAATTAAATAATGTTATGATTTGATTTTCACTTGCATTTAAGGTTATAAAAGATTTAGATCCATACAAAGTTAGGTACCTACTCAAATTGTAAAAACCTACTTTAATTTTAAAATGAATTGGTTATCACTTTACTTTAGAACATTTTTGACATCAAGGACTAAATTGCAAGGTTACCATAAGAACTATATTAGCATACATCATAGATTTTTTGTATGGATAACCAATTTATTTACCAAAAATTATTTTTATTGGAAACATTTTGGTATTCGTTATTAAATATTACATGCCATAGATAGTCGTAGGTAGGTAGGTAGTGTGAAAGAGATCATGAGGTCATGAATTCGTATGAATGTGGCTTGAACGAATGAATTTTTTGCCTTTCAATATTCTTAAAGAAAAGTCATCGCCTTGCGTTTGTGACGAGGTAGTACGTACCGTTTATATTGGTAAGCAATGCCGATTGCTGTTTACGCCTCTTGTCAAAGCAGTCGAGAGTTTTATTGTTTTTGTATTTATTCTTAATTGACCCCATCAAGATGCCGTTTGACATTTTTTGAGATTAAATATGATGGAGTTGAATGATTAAGTTTTTTTTACTGATGAGAAATTAATATTACAGGCGCTTGAGGGCTACGTTCCAGGTGAAGACTACCCCGACTTTCAAGAGGTGCCCAAGGGTCTGTCATTCAACTGCAATGACAAGATACCCGGATATTACGCTGATCCCGAAACTAATTGCCAGGTAAGTGTATGCAGGGATAATAAGATACGACCAACACTTAAAACTACAAATTTATTTAAAATAAGTTATTTTACTAATAAAATATGTGTTATATTAACTGAACCACCGCCCCTTTAATAAGAGAGAAAGTTACATTTACATGTAATAGAAACATCAAATAGCGGGCTCGTGTCGTTTATGTCTATACATGTTTCTTAAAGCTCACTGAGAACCTACAGACTCAATACTTCCAACAGTGCAGGAACTAGCAATTGTCTAATTAATTTGTTGACATATTTATGTTCACGATTGTACTTTCCCTAGGTTTGGCATTGGTGTGTGCCAAGCATCGGTGGCAACGTGATGTATTCGTTCCTGTGCGCGGCTGGCACCGTTTTCAACCAGAGGACCAGGGTCTGCGATTGGTTCTTCAAGGTAAATGCATAGAGGAAGCTGGATAAGGATTATATTTTTTATTTACACAAATTTGGAAACTCCCGATGAATTAACTTAGTCACAGTCCTTGAAAACTCAACATGATACAAAGATCTATAAATTTTCAGACCTAATACATTCACAGAACTTTTCAAAGAGATCATTTCGCCTGATATCGATTTATTCTATTTTTATTAAATGTATTAATTCATTGAATTTAGGCAATAATCCCAGAATTAACTATTGGTAGTTGAAAAAATTGTAAGTTTAAATTTTATTTGCTACATTTCAAATACATCAAAATAATCTGTCTTTAAATTGGAAAGAAGTCATCGGAAGTAAAACTACGAAAAGTTTGTCATTCGATAAACCACACTCTGTTTATTGCATGACAAACTTTTTATGTCTCAGCGTCACTCGGTACGAGCTGGAGGAAACCTGAAACCAGGTCAAAATTTTATGTAGTTCATTCACAAACAGTAGTGACTATATTTTTGTTCATGCAGGTGGATTGTCAGACCTCTCCAGCATACTACGGCGTCAACGAAGACCTTTATAAGGATGAAGCGGGCAACTACATTGCCGGGAAAAAGTAGATCGAGATTACCGCAAACATTTTACTCCAGAACGCGCATGCTTGTACAGGATTTATAATGTAGTGCCTATTTGTAATATAACTTATGTAATTGACTAGTGCAATGAATGTTTTATAAGTTTTCCTTAGTTTTAGTTAGCTGTTATGTAAATTGTGTATATTAGATCTTTAAATAGTTATAGCAAAATTGACTTTTGGAAGATTGCCGATGAAAAATTGAAGGCGCTATACATAAGTGAACTAATGTTCAATTAAACGGTATATCTTAACATGTAACAAGCCATATGTAAAACTTTTCCGATAACAATGTCTAATTATTTTTTAATCATTTTTCGTATGTATATTGAAAAGCTGAATTGTTTTGTTGATGTTAAGAGTAATAATTAATTAACATTCGGTCCTTCAATAATCTTCAAATTGAAATATCGCTATAATTAATTACATTGAATTGAAGAAATATTTTAGTATTATTGATAAAGTAGCATAAAAAAATCCAGAGTTACCAATCCATTAGTCAAGATTGTTATTAACTTAAGATTAAAATTGAGAATTATGTAAAATAACGATTAGTTTACATCGAAGATATTAATATTTTCTCTGTAAACATTATTTCGCCAATATCACTGCTCAGAACTCCGACGATATATTTAAACATCCTTTAGTATGCCATATGTTGACGATGTAATGTAATGATAGAATCAAATAAGTTTATCATCTTTACGCTCATATATTTGATTTCTCGAAAGTTTGATTTAAGTATTCATTCGATTAATTCAAAATCTGAAGTTTCTATTATAAAAAAAATATGCAAAACAATTAAAAGACACTGTCACTTAGTTTAACAATTGGGTTCTTTTTGTTAATATATAAATGTAGCTTTTAAGATATTTTTTTTTGCACTTTCCAAATATCTTTTGTTTTTTTATATAACCACATAGGGAAGCATGATTTTTTGACAAAAGACAAGACCTTTTAGATAAGCCAAAAGGACAATAAACCAGCACTAGAAGGTTGAGGTTTACTTTAGACATGTTTATCCCACACACATACAATAACGAGGTAATAAAATAATATATACCAACTATTTTCATCTCTTCCCACCAATAGTTTGCACCTTACACAAGGATTAGATGTACGTAAGGAACTTATTCTAATTACTATAAAAAAGCTATTTTAATGGCGCACTGCAGGGCCAGAATTTAATTTTCACACGTTTTTTATTATTTAAAAAAAAAAGTTCATTATATAATAATATATCTGTGCTTAACTGCTACTTATTTTCATACGAATTATTATTTATTACTTATTAAATCAGTATGTTCTTTCACTTAAGTTACGACTAAAATTTTCAGAGTCGAAGAGGATGTTACGGGAACGACCAAGGCCTCTTTAGAAAGACGACGAAAGGTTATACGACGAAAAGGAATAACGACTAACGACCGAACAAGGCAGACTAACTCTCGGACAGTCACCGTCTCGACTGTACAGACGTAATGAATTTGACAAAGTACAGGCACGCGGGAAAGTGGAAATATTTCACGTCATATTTTCACACTTTCGTGTTTAATACCGTATCGGAATTATCTCGGTCTTTAGAAGTCGGTTGATAACGTTACTGCTATTGCATATATTATATTAATAAAATAATTTCTATTTACACATTTGTAATATGTTTCCGCGTACTCGTTTCTTCTAAAGTGACAATATCAAAAGCTATTTGTGTGTGTGTGTGAAGATCGATAAAATAAATCATAAATGAATAATTAGCCTATTTAAAAAGTTAAAAAACTGATAGAATATAATTAAAGTACAAAAGTCTGTATGTTACTAATCTTTATTTAGTAGTTTTTTCTGTATTTCGCAATAACAAGCTATAGTATATATAACGCTAACAACCATACTCTAATGTAAATAAAGCCACATGTTTGTACGTTTTCTAATAAAATAATTATAAATTTGTTTTGTTTTATTTAATCCTCTCAGGCTGAATCTCTCCGACTACCCGAATAGAATAATTTTCCTTGAAATAGTGTACATATGCATGCTCTTTATGTATTCGTTTTTTAGGTCTTGGTCATGATAGATGCATGTGGACGTGCGGGCATTGACGGGGTGAGGAAAATACCGACTATGAACTGTTGGGCTGAGGCACCGTGACAATGACGACCGTCGACTGTATTATTCGGTCGCTAAAGCAACGAGAACCACCAATGACCCTGGAGTACCTTGTGTTCGCGATGTATCGAGCACATTGTGATGGTGCCGTGAGCAGTTTGTGCTCATGGGCGAGCACAAACTGCCGAGTGAGTGAGTTCTCGCCACGTCTTGGCTTGGTCACCCATTATGAAGCCAAGGTCTGTTTAAAAAATAGACCAAGACAATACAAGACGATACAAAGAAGACAATAGAAGACGATAAAAAACATTAAAAACAAGACAATGCGTATAAGCAATGAAAATTGTGAAGAAAACAATGAAGATAGTCCTAAATTAAATGGATAAAATAATTTTTTATTTATTTATTTACGTACTAAACAAAAATAAAAACACCACACCGGAATTATATGTAAGCTTTAGTACGGAGATGACGTGTTATACTTATTTTTTATTAAAATTTCACTGTTTAAACCGTAGACAGTTAATTACAGTATAAGCCATTTATGATAGATACTTTTAAGTCTTGCAGTTTCATCTTGATTCATTTGGCTGGACGAATTAAAAACAGTAACTAATACTACGGGGCAACTAAGACATTTGTGTGACCCACATATAATTGTTTCGGTTCTGGTTGTTGGTCCACGTGAAATTTATGTTTGTAAAACGCTCTTAAAACACAGGATAATGTTTATCCTACAGTAAGGGAAATATTTAAAAAAAAATTGCATTTATCATTGCTATTTCACAACCACCAGCTAGGATCATTATTGTCTCGCACAACCACTCTGTGGAACCAGTTGCCGCCGGCGGTCTTTCCGAACCGTTGCGACCTGGGAACCTTCAAGAAGAGAGCGTACTCTTTTCTAAAAGGCCGGCAACGCATTTGTAAGCCCTCGGGTGTTGCAGATGTCCGTGGGCGGCGGTGATCACTTACCATCAGGTGAGCTCGTTTGCTGCTTTTTCCGTTAAAAAAATACATAATCCAGAATATGAGTTTATAATTTTATAGTTTTAGGACACATTTTTACACAACGTTCTCTAGCCCCAAACTAAGCAACGCTTGCACTATGGGTACTAGATAGCTGATAAACATACCTTTCTTTTGTAAATAAATACATATTATACATATATAAACACCTACACACCAGAAAAACACCATGTTCAAAAAAATCTAAATTAAGCTATCGTACAACTCATCAAAACACAATTCTATCACAGCGCGCTTTTTAAAAACCTTTCTTTTACGCACAACTATTTTGTGAAATCAATTGTCATCAAGGCCTATTCCGACCTTACAGACCGGCAAACCACTTTAACTGTTCTGGTAATGGAAACTTTGGATGTGGTAGAGATGATTTATCATCAGTAGAACCATTTCCTATCGCCAAAATTAAATAAATTACGTTACTGCTGTCTGTTGTTATTTTTGTCGTCGCATTTATTATTCGAACAAACCATTAGACACCGTCGATTGGGATTGGGATTAATAAAATATTAAATTTTATTTTTGGTGTATTTTGATCAGATATAATTGGTCAGAATTTAATAATTTGGGTCCCATACGCGGGTTTTATCCGCTTAGTGTCGTAAAGCGGTGAATTCGCAGGCAGTTATGGCATTTATTGAAAAGTAATAAAAACGAAAACATGCTAAGAGCATCTTGGGTCATATCTTCTGTCAAGTGCTGCCTGTGGTTTTTGCCGTTGCGTTTTATAATTAACTTTAAGAATGTGACAGTAAGAATTAATATTTCCCTTGCGTGTAACAGTTGTATAATCAGCTGCGTTGACAACTGTACTCGATTGCATTGAATGTAACATGCGTATGTGTGGGTATTGTCATTGGAGGTAAGGCCGTGTTAATATCGAAGAGCTTTTTACTTTTTTAAAAAGGTCAATGTTACTATTAAATGTCTTTTAGTATTTTATTTTTATTAAACATCGTTCGATTTGATGCAACTTTAAGATATTAACTTCAGTCAAAATATTGAGACTGTCACTCTTCTTATTTCAGTACTATACCATTTCCATAGACATCCACTTAAAGCAATCGTTTTTTTTTTTATTGAAAAAATGATAAAACTAGGCGAAACTTCGTCCTCTTCTGCGGTCGTATTAAAACGAGGTATTAAGACACCGTTCACAATTGATTTAATAAAGCGATGTATAAACCATGATACTGTAAAGCTGTGTAGATTTACAATAATAAAAAATAAAACTGTTGAAATATTGAGCAGCGTCTTATCATAAAAAGTATTTTGATCTGGTCCTTAATTTTACAATAGATGAAGATTTTAATCTAACCTTAAAATGGAACTTTTAAAGAGATAATAAAATATGTATTGATAAATACAATTACTGATTACTATACATTCGAACTATTATGTATATATATTTAAAAATTTGAATTTTCAAGACGTGTGCTTGATATAAATACAAGGAAACAACATAAATTAATTCTACCCACATCTAGACTGCGTAGAATAAGTAATTCTTATAAGGAACAATGTGTACATTTTTTTTCCACAAAATCCCATAAAACGTTCACAATGTGTCAATGGTTAAATTAAAAAAAAAAAATAAAGGAAATGTTTTATGTGTTAAAGGCTATATTATAATATTAGTGATTTTTTAAATGATAACACACCCTGGAAATGAATTGATCGCGCCAGGCTCTTTCAAGTGGACATTAATAGATTGTAAACGGTTTCTTTGTCAAATAATGGGTACTTATTATATAATAATAAAAAAAATATTATGAGCTGAGTTTATTTCGACGGTTCTTCTCAGATTAGTGGCTTTTCTTTTCCGAACCAGTGGTAGTGATTTTAACAATCAATAAG